AGAGAGAGAGAGAGAGAGAGAGAGAGAGAGAGAGAGAGATAATCTGGCATTAAAATATTTATTGTTAATTTTGGAACACCCTGTGTGTATATATCTAGATTTTTGTATAACATGCGTTTATATACATAAAACATAATAAGTAATAAGAGATTTTAAAAAGATACCTTTTGATAGGACTATTTGGTATGAATTATTATGTGGTGAATGGCCTTTTAGAGGTCAACCTACGGAAGCTATTATTTGGCAAGTTGGAAAAGGAATGAAACAATCTTTATCATATTTGCAAGCTTCCCGTGATGTAAAGGTACATACGAAAGTTTATAACATATTTGTGCATATTTGTACAATCGTATAATGATTTGTTTATAAATTATATACATTATTTACTGTACTAATTACTATACTATATTATACTATACTAATTACTATTTACTACAATATAATAATTCTATACATTATTTACATCATTTATGAAAATCATAAATTTTTTATAGGATATTTTAATGTATTGCTGGTCGTACCATGCAAAAAGACGTCTTGACTTTATAGAGATAATAACTCTACTCAAAAGGCTGCCTCGCAAAAAATTAGCGCGTAGTTCCTCTAATCCTACAAATTGTACTCGTTCTGCAGAATCTATGTTCTGAATACATTTAAGTTTATTTAAATGCTGTTGTTCTTATAATGTAAATATAGAATTATTGCCAATTCCTTTGTTCAAGAAAAGTAAAATAAAAGTCACTAAAAGATTCGCGCTTGTTTTTTTGCATTACTAATTTATAAAAATGTGCAAAGAATATTAATGTAATTATAAAGATGTTAAATTGTTGCGAATTAAATACATATCTTTTTTGTGAATAAGAATCATAATACTAAAGTCTCTCTTTAAGAAGAGATATGTATATATTTATTAACTTATATTTGTTAAATATATGTAAATATCTTTTGTATTAAATATATATAAAATCTACAAACATCTGTAAGTAATATAATTTTTGAAACAATTTTTATATAGGCATCATAAAGCAGGTTTTAAGAAATAACTTTCATTTTTGTAGGTAATATATTTTATTGAGAATAATAGGCGACAGACAATTTATATTCATTAAATTCTATGTTATAAATAAAATTATCAGATGAATATATATATATATTATAATTATTAAATAACAAAATAAATTAATATAATTGTTTCTTAAATCTTTTGAAAGATATTTTAGGTCAATATTTATCGCATTTTATTATGGTTTATTTTTTATGATGTCAGTTGTCTGTCTATTCTCTTGTGTTATATTTACATTGTATTGTGAGTAGCTACCATAACGAGAATTCAATCCGAAAGAGATAAATTATTAGAAATCACAGACTTATATAAGTCTGTATGTTAATATTAATTACAGTAATTTATTTTATTTTTCTTCATTCATAGCGCGTGTGAAAAATGAAAATATTTACTTGACTTAAATCCGTGTGTATTTTTATATACAATGAATATGTTTTTTACATATAATCGTGTAAGTAACAAGTGACACAAATAATAAATTATTTGTTTTACATATATGATTTTTTACTGTTATCTGAACATTTCTAAGTCTCTTCCTTTTTCCTTCTTCCATCGTTTTAAGATTTTTAGATATTGGAATGATATGGTAAGTTAAATAAATTGTTCTATAATCTATATTATTTATGATTAAGTATAAATCTTGACATTTAAGATTGTTAAATAAAATATTTTATTTTGGTAATTATTTAATATTTTATTTAATTGATACAAACATTTTAATGTAAAAAAATTTTTATTCGCTAGTCCAAATAAATGAGGAAATACAAATAATCAAAAGTATATACCTAGTACGCAAGAAAATATGTTTATTAATATATCGTATTGCTTTCGATACAATACAATTTCTCCTTATTTTAATAACACTTACAATAGTGTTATATACATATATATAATTTTTAAATGTTATTAAAATAAGCATGTTATTTCATTTTAAATACATAAACGTATATCGAATAAATTACTATCGAAAAATTATTAAATATATTAAAATATATAGCCAATTTTTTATTCAGTAAATATTTATTTTTCATCTAAAATCTTATTTTTATTACGTAAGTTTATTATTTAAGAAAAAACTAATTATTAACTTATAATTATTGATTTTGAAAAAGCACAAGTAAGTTTTAACCATTACATATTTTTTGTAATTCTTGTAATTGTCTTCGGAGATGTGTAGTTCGCAATTTATTTAACGCTATTCTTTTTTCAAACGTTTGTACCAAAGGCTTTGTAATGATATCTGTTATATGAACCAACGCACGTGTCCTGACTGCAAATAAAAATTATCTGAACTTAGATTTTTTAAATCTATATTTACTCTGGACATTAAATACTATTGTATAAATAGTATTTTTAATTTATAAATAAATTAATATATATACATACCAGCATCATTATGAATACTGGCAAGGACATCTGGATGATCTTTACAGGCTTCAGCCATATCTTCTTCTTCTTGTACCAAAATTTTTGATAAGTCTGTCATTGTCTATAACATTATTCAATTTCTGATAAAGAGTTCTTTTTTTTTTGCTTAAAATTTCTTATTAAATAAAAATTTCTTATTAAATAAAAATTTCTTACTCTTAAACATCTGTTTGAAATCTCTGGAGTATGTACTATTTCTAATGGTATCTCTGTAGCTTCACCATTGTCTGATTGAAAACAATTTAAGAAGATTTCGTGTTCCTTTAAAGTAAAAAAAAACATGACAATATTTACTTATCTGTTATAATTTATCTACATCAATAACTTTTAATTATTCCACAGACTATTCATTACATAAGATAATGCACTGAAAGTTTTATATTGATTATTGACAATATCAATTTACTATTAAATAAAATTAAATGATTTTTGTTTTTCAGCTATATAAAGACTACATCAACAGCTATGAATTTATTGATAAAGAAATTAAGATAAGGAAAATACATGTACTTTTGATTCTTTGCCCTCTGAAAATACCGAGAATATTAAGCCTACAAAACTGTGATCCATTGTTTGATAAGTAGCTTGAGTTCTGACATCTGAAAAAATAATTTGTTGTAAATAATTTAATATAAAAATTTTGAATATAAATTATATTCAAACGTTTTGACAAGAAAGGTATTTATAATACACACCAACATGTGATGGACAAACTGTAATATGCGGATGTGAATGATACCATCCAAGGACGCGCATAGGTCGATTTAATTCTACAGTTAATCGTTCAGCTTCAGTAGCAGCTTTCAGTAATTGCTCTGACGATATCTCTACTCTGTCTTTCTTCTTATCTAGACGTCGCAAAATAATAACAGCTGATATTTTTGCTACTCCACACTCAAACTAAAAGGGGGATAATTAATGCTTTGATTGCCTTGTTAATTGTATAAGAAATAATAAAGAAATATCATAAACATAAGATGTTTTAAATTCCACGTACATTACCGATAAGTAATCCCATTACTTCAAAGTTCTCTGTGGATAAAGCATGTTGTAAACATACCATGTATACATCTGTTTGCAGCTCTACCTTTTGCAATGGAGAATCGTCCATTGTTTATGAAGATATTAATCCTTTAGAAATAAAATACACGAATATAAATACATTCATAATTGATGGATTTTATAATCGCATTTAAAACATTACAAGTAACGCTCTAGTTGCTCAGATTTCTAGAATGAAAATACAGGTATAGGTCTGTTATTTGTAGTTGAACTTTTGCTTCAGTCAAAATTTGAAGGGAAGAAATTTTCTGGGAAGAAGCAAATATGCTACCAAGTATGTTTTATTTTATTGAGAGTTGCTTCTAACTTCTTAGACACAGATAGGTTTCTAAGTCTCTCTCCCAAGCACTGTTAATAAGACAATTTAAATTATATACAGACGGAATGACATAATGGTATAGTAATTTATGTATAACCTACACCACTTTTGAATTGACGCCTACGCCGGTTTGTCCAATGTTAAATTAAGTAAGTATACATGTCTTACTTCGAGTAGCATTTTTTCGTGCAGACTGATGTCATTAATGTGTTTAATTAATGTATCTAGTGCGTTACTTGCTTGGTCTTTCGAATGCTATTTTTTGTTTAGCAACCAATCGGTGAACTAGGAACTAACGATAGAATAGGCCCCCAGGTAAACAGCGTGAACCCGATAACCTGTCAAGGTGTATTGCAACCGAAGCCAAACGCGAATTCGACAAATCTCTCCTTCGTCGAGTCGATTCCCCGCATTCCTCGCTCCCCCGGTTCAATGATCTTTTCCAATCTTTTCCTCGTCTGCCTTAACCACGATCCACCTCGCTATACCTCCCTCTCTCACTGTTGACGTAACGAGGCCGATGGGGACGACGGAGCGTTGTGTGATTTGGTGTGACTCGGGATTGATTAGTGATTATATTTATATTACGAATTTATGAACAAGAGATTTCGCTAAAGTGAACATCGCGACATTGAAAAAATACCAATGGGAAATCCCTAAATCCTATATCTCTATGAGATCGTATTACGTGGGTAAAGTCAAATCGCTTTTTCCGTATGTTACGAGTCACGTCGTAAAGTACCAAAGGATCAGCTGGCGGAGATCAATTCTAGTCAATTTCGTTTGATCTACTCTGATGCCGTTTAGATTTAACAGGCTTGTGCAACACAATTATATCGCGGGCGCACGCTGCGACGGCGTTCAATACGGATTTTAACGCGCGAGAACGGAATATTTAGTGCGTGCAGTATCTATTTATACGTACGTACATATGCCGACGTGTATGTCAACATATATACGCACACCCGCGTGTATGTACACACTTCTGATTGCTCGCCACAATCCCACTTTTACTCACTTTGGAGTTTAATCAGAGGTGGTGTGATGCGCGTACTGTGACGCTCGAAGATGCTTACAAGCAGTTTTTTGTTACCGCGCGACGGGGTAAGTTGATGTATTTTGAGGTTATGTCTTGCCATAAGATAACTAGTAGTCTAAGTCGACGATATAATTTGCGAACTCATAAATTACATTAACTTTAATAGCGTGACGCGATTAACAACGACAACACTGAAGAATTTATCGCGTCATGGTAGATAATCGAGCACCCATTAATTCAGAAAATAAGTATTGTACGGTAAATGCAGATCAGGACGACCCAAGGGAAACACGCGTGAAAGAAACGATGCCTTCGGAACTGAGGTCGATCAGCGTGGCCGACTGGGTTACAGTCGCGGTCCTTTGTTTCGTAAATCTCATAAATTATATGGACCGCTTTACGATTGCTGGTAAGTCTTGCTTTGTTTTAGGAATAATTGTTGAATCAATAGATTTCTGAGAAATTTTTTTCGATTTATAAAATAATTTCCTGGATAGAGAACATAATTTCTTTCAGTTTATATAAAAATACTTAATTTTGTATTTTAGGAATATTGACTTACATCAAGCATGACTTTGATATTGGCGACGATAAGTCTGGGCTATTGCAAACAGCATTCATTTTGAGCTATATGATATTTGCACCATTATTTGGATATTTAGGAGATCGTTATAATAGAAAATTTATTATGAGTGGTGGTGTATTTTTATGGTGCCTAACAACATTTATTGGTTCTTATATGAAGGTAAGTACATTTAGAGTTTGTTTTTTTATTTTTGTACTAAACTGTATTAGAAACTTCTTTCTCACTTTTGCCAAATATCAAGCATGTATCTATTTTACTTTAAATTCTAAAAGTATACATTAATTTAGTTATATAAAACATCTTTTTTACCAGGTTATATTTAATGGAGAGATTTATTTAACATCCAATTTTATCATGTGCAAGAACATATATTAAATATAATACATATTTGATGTGTGATATTTTTAATTTATTTCAGACCTTTGGATGGTTCCTATTCTTTAGGACACTTGTTGGCATAGGAGAAGCTAGTTACTCTACAATTGCACCAACAATTATTAGTGATTTATTCATAAAAGATGTACGTTCTAAGATGCTCGCCCTATTTTACTTCGCTATTCCAGTTGGAAGGTATGTTGATTATGCGTTGCATGATTAAAATATATGTTGCTTATATGTATATATTATTTTAGTGGTTTAGGATATATCACTGGAGGTGAAACAACTCGTATTACTGGTCAGTGGCAATGGGGATTACGTATTACTCCAGTATTAGGAATTATAGCGATTCTTCTATTACTCTTTGTAGTAAGAGATCCTATCAGAGGTGAACGTGAAGGAGGTGTTCATTTGACAAGTACCACATGGTCATATGATATCAAGCAGTTATTAAAAAAGTGATTATCAATAATTTAATTTTTTTTTTTATTGAAGTTGTATGGGATTTTTTTTATTATATGGTATATAACTTAATGAATTTAATTAAGATTTAATTTTTTTTTACCAAGTTATTTTAATTATAAATAAGGACTGTATGTGTGTGCGTAATACCGCCACTATCATAATGCACAATGTTAAAAGAATGACAATTAATAGAGACAGAGTTTAAATGCAGTGACAGAATATTAAATTCAATTATATTATTTTTTTTTAATAATTTGAAATTAATATTATGTTTCTTATATTATTGACATTTTCAGTTCAAGTTTTATGCTGTCTACTGCAGGATTTACTTGCGTAGCATTTGTCACTGGTGCGTTGGCATGGTGGGCGCCAACATATTTACAATTAGGTTTCCAATTACTTCCTTATGAAGCAAAAGTTGATCCAGAGGAGTAAGTTTTTTTTTAATATTTACATATTATAGTATGTTCATTTTATTATAAAAATACATATTTATACATAATTATATAATTGTTATATGTGTTATAATGTTTCAGTGTTGCATATAAGTTTGGATTAATTGGTATGGCATCTGGTTTAATAGGTGTACCTTTAGGCTCTGCTATAGCACAAAAATTACGAACTTACTGGCAACAAGCTGATCCTCTGATATGTGCCGTCGGCCTTTTAATAAGTGCTCCTTTATTATTCTTCGCTATGATTACTGCCAATACAAATTCTACTCTTTGTTATATATTAATATTTTTCGGTCAGTTATCACTGAATTTGAATTGGGCTATTGTAGCAGACATATTACTGGTAAGGAACAATATATTAAAAAATGTATTTCTTTTTTATAATTATATTTTAATAAACTTAATTAACTTTTATTATATTGTAGTATGTAGTAATTCCCACAAGAAGGTCTACTGCAGAAGCATTCCAAATACTCATTGCACATGCTCTTGGAGATGCAGGCAGTCCTTATCTTATTGGACTTGTATGTAAAAATAAACTCACTATACTAATATCACAAAATATTAATTATTATTAATTGTTTTTAGATATCAGAAGGATTAAAGTCCAGATTTTTGTCAGATGTAGGAAGACAATCTAATATTTATGATAGTCAAAATGTAACCATTGAGTTCCATAGCCTACAATATGCAATGTTTCTTACAATGTTTGTAGAAGTATTCGGTGCTCTATTCTTCTTCCTGACAGCATTGCATATACAAAAGGACAAGGCATTAGTCGATCTTGCTATTGCGGGTAAGTAAAAGAATATATCTATTATTAGTTGAGGCAAAAATCGATGTTTATATAACGCACTGTGTTTTGCATGGTTAAAATTGAGGAATTCTTACTAATAGCTTGATGTTTGATATACATACACACATATATTATATATATTATAATATATATTATATATATATTGTTATGAACAATTATTATAAACTTGTTCTCATGTATAAAACGTATTAGTGCAAGTATAATGGCTTTTGTAAGAACATTTTTTATTCTTATTGTTAAACATTATATATACATAAATAAACATTAATATATTTGTCAACAAAATTATCGCAAGTAAATTCTATCAAAATTTCGCATACTTCAAATAAGCATGATTTCACGAAAAGTTGTATTCAATTTTTTTTGCATTTTCAAGGGTGAAGTCTGTATTTTGAAAAGATTTTGAATTTATCCTCCCATTTCTCTTATTCTCTTAAAAAATAAAGACGTTATGTCTCCAAAAAAATGCATAATTTGACACTCTACAGGATGGAATAAATTTTTTTCGCAAATATAGTAATTATCTTAAAATTGTTAAAATATAGACTTTTCCTGCAAATTAAAATAAAAGAAAGTTTGTTATGATTCTTTGCGGAGTTATGACGTATAAAATTTATCTATGCATTTTTGTCAGTTGCATTGCGTGCTTGTGTGTAGTAGAAAGAGAAATGTATCTTTGCATTTAACATTGTGTATTCCGAAGAGATGAGACGAATATATACAGTTTTAAATGCGAAGATGCATCTCTCCACCCAATACGCATACACTCACACGATGGGCAAGATCCGATTAGCAATCTTCGCGTAATGTGCGTCGTGTAATACTAATGCTGGTGGTAACTGAAAAAAATGCATAGATAACTTTGATATACCACGAAATAAAATCGTAGCAAACTTACTTTCTTTGTAATTTGCAGGGTAAGTCTATTTTATAATAACTATGGTACTTGGAAAAAAATTTATTTTACGCATTAGAGTATGTAATTTTTTTGGAAACATAATATGTTTTTATTTTTTCAGAGTCGGCAGAAGAGGAGGAAATTCTAGTAAATGCTTCTTAAGATATGGACTTTACCTTTAAGAATGCAAAAAAAAATTTAATACAACATTTTTCGCTAAGTTACATTTTTTTAAAGTTTAAGAAATTTTGATAGAATTTACTTGTAATAATTTTATTAATGAGTGTATTAAGTAAAACATCCAGTGCTCACACACATATTATCCGGTAAGTGTGATACACATATTGAGATATTGAATGATCAAGCAAATTAATATATTATGTAATAATGCTGTAATATCGTATTAATAAATAAACATATATATGTAACATATATATATTCCTTCTATAATCTAGGTCTGGTCGGAATGTGAAATAAAAATTTGTAACTAAACTAAAACATTCTATTTTTGCACAGTGCATGAATTGTTCGCAACTTTGGACTTACAAGCACAAGCTTTGGGACCAAAAAGAAGGTAGTATATCTACCTTTATTATTTATAATATCATTTAACACGATAAGCGCCATAAAACTTTTGTTTTACTACTACTGTATTGAAATATGTTTTATATATATAATATAAAAAATATATATATGACAAAAATATTTGAATATATAAATGTAATAGAACAAAGTGTGAAATAAAATATGAAATATTTTATAAAATTATAGAGATAAAATTGGAAAAAAATATTTATTTTTATTTATGCACATTTTATTTATTTATTACGTTAATTTTTTATTTTTATTGTAAAATAATTTTTTAAATAAGAAAATGGAAAAAAATATTTGTTATTTCTTAAAATTTATTAAATTTATTTTTATATAATTGCAATTGTGCTTTTTTTAATGTAAAGTTTATAAACATTACTCCGAATTTTTGAAAAATTTTATATATTTTTAACCGTGTGTGTGGCGCTTAACTTGTTAAAATTTAAGATTTTTTACATTTATGTTTTTATTATGATTGATTTTTTTATATATAGTAATCTTGAACGTTTATTATAATTTTGAATTTTTATTTTATATTCCACCAAAATATATATTATAAAAAATATAATATCCACATATATTTATAATAAATCTCTTAGATTTTATATTTTTAAAAGCATATTATTTAATCATAACTTTTTTAACAATTTCCCTATTTATCTGTATAGTATTGCTCTATTAAAAAATGGCGTTTAACGTGTTAAGGAATGCGCGAATTAATCAAAGATTATATATAATATTAAAATGTAATAATTTTATTATAACAATTGTCTTAATCCGTAAATAATATATCTAAATTTATGTATACACTGTTTATATATCTTACAAATTGATAAATAATTATTTTTTTATCCTCTATTATTAATTATTATGCATTTGTAATTTTTTATATATACAATTTTACATAATTGAATTAGTGCATTTATTCATTATTGTTTATAACGAAACTTGCAATCTTATAATTATGGTAGTAACTTTTTATAATTTATGTGTATCGGGATTATTCTATTTTAAATATGTTGAATTTATACTTATTTTCATAATTTCAACATAATATATAGGATAATTGAAACATTCCATATACATTATTATAGACATAATAAAAGCTTTATGTTCTTTGTTTCTTTAAATTTATTAGTACAAATTGTAAGCAATTACATAATGTTTTCTAAATAATAAAGCTGCATTTTGTATGAAAATTGTTTGTACTAAATCCAAAAATATGTTAATATATTGGAATTTTTTCAATACGTTACAAGTTGTGCAATGTATTTATATTTTAATATATAATACTGGATTTATATAAAATAATTAATGGTTTATTATTTTTGTTATTGAAATATTTTTCAGAACTGGGCTATATTTATCGTAAATAATATGCGTGATATAGTCACATGGTTTAGTCTGGAATGTGCATGTAGTTATTTTTATATAACATACAAACATCTTTCTTACAGACAAATATCTAGATACTAAGAATAATGGGCAAGCTGAATCAACGCATTTATAGATCATCACTGGGCCTCCTCTGATAATATGCTGTATATCTGGTACATAATTTATTTTCATGATTTTGTTATTCTTTTTTTTTGTAACTTGATTTGATAATCAATTTAATCTGGTTTTATATAAGTGGTAATGATTTTCTATTTTGTAATAGTTAATTTTTTTGTATATATAGGATGTCTCACCGTACAGTACTTCTACAATATATTCTAGAGATAAAGTAGAATAAAAATTCTAACACGCATAAATGTTGAGACCGCAATAATTTTATAAATTTATAAATTAACTTTAATTGCTTATATAAGTCAAATACTGTTTTACTTTTATAGTTTCTATTATTATTTCTGGATTGTATGTTTGGAATATTCTAAGACAAATCCTAATATAAAAATATCGAGACTACAGTTTTTAAATTACCGACTATTTTTTATGAATTATAATTCAAAAACTATTATAGTTTCGACATTTTTGTAATAGGATTTTTTATTTTACTTGACCTATAAAATACACTATAAAAGTATTGTACAGTGATTGTGAGACATTCTGTATATACTTATAAATTAAACTATGTTTTAAGAAGGGAAAACACGTATTGACATATATTTCAAAAAAGATGTCATACATATATTTATTAAATTTTATATTACACATGAACTTATTGTTATTTCTATTTGTAATTTTTATTTGCAGTTTTCTATTACTTATAACTATATTACATCTTCTTAATTCTTAAGAACTAGTGAATACTTACAAAATAATCAATATCTTTTTATATCAAAAAAATTCACATTCAATGTGTTTGTTTTTTAATTAAATTTTTGAAAATATTTAAATTTATTTAAGAAATATATGTCGGTTAATTTTATAAAGAAAAATTTGTGTTTTTTTTTACATAATTAAATTGATTATCACAATTATCATTTCATACTATTTTTTATATTGAGTTTTTTAAATCATCATTTTTTTTATATATAATTTCTACAAATACTTTCATCTTTCCTCTTTTTATGATTTATATTATATTTTTATTATATTTTATAAGGATGCATGAGAAGTTTTTAACTGAGGAATATGAAGCTTTTTTTATTATTTTTATTGTCTTGATTTCATGTTTTTCCTGTGGATGTCATAAGTGAAAATGTAATTCATGAAATAATTAAAAGTTTTTGGTACTTATTATTTAGACATTGTTAACAATTACAAAATTTATATAAGGATTTAATTAAAATAAAATGTCTTTTTTAAAGTTGAACAATATGAATAGATTATAGTTTAGGCTTGATATTCCTATATTATTAGAATTAATATTTACAAAATTGATTTTTCCAAGTATTTATTAATTGGAATAAAGAAATCATATTGTGCAAATACTTACAACAAAATTTAACATCAAACAATATGATATCATCTTTTAGACTGATGAAGCTTGCCTATAAATCTATGTGTGGAATGTAACATAACTAATAGACTTTATGTATATTTGTGGATGTATGTTATATGGACATGGTACAATAATGCATGTATGTTTTTACAGAATTAAATTGTAATTGGAATAGAGTGAACACATAATTAATTTTATTAATGCAGTTTAATTATATGATTTGGTTTGTAAATGTATAATTTTATTTGTCTAGATATATTTTTTGCTTTACAAATTTATTAATATGGATAAATATATTGAAAATTATATAAATAGGATTTCATATAATTTATATAAATAGACAGATGCATTACGCATAATTTATGCTTGGTGTTGTAGCAACAATATTATTGTTGCTTTAAATTTTTTATCACATAATAAATTTAAACATTTTTACCTGTATATAGATTATAGATGCTTGAAAGATTGCTAGAATATTGTTCATGTATATACCTTTAACTCTTCATTAATGCTCACTGATATATTAGTTGTATGTGTCTACTAATTTTTTTATTACTTCAAAAATCGTATTATACTGTTGTTACATAGGAACAAGAGTCTTTATATTTAATATTAAACATTTAAATATGTAAATGTTATTTTTTTCATAATTGGAAATATATAATTTATATGTTATATATTATACATATTATACATATTTTATAAACAATATTATATATAATAAAATATTATATATATTTTATATATGTATATACAGAGTGAATTTTGATGAATGTTTTACATGGGAGTGAGTTACCGATTTGTAACACATAAGAAAGAGTAAAATATTCATCTCTTATGGTAAAATATAAGATATTTAAAGGATGCATTCAGAATGACAACTGTTCACTAAGCGCTCAAGTGAGCGGTTGTCATTATAAATGCACACATTAAGATTCACTCCGTGTCTGTATATATACAGGCACACACATATATCATAGGAATTAAGTCCTATAAAAATATAGGAATAAAAGTGTGTGTAATATTTCTATATATTTATATGCAGAGTGGAGTAATAACTTCCATCTAAAATTTCTTCTATTTTTAGAGATATAAAAATAATTTTGAAAATTGTATAATATCAAGTAGATTACAATATAATAGTAATAATTTTTTTATAAATAGAGAGACTTTGAAAAATTTACGGTCACCTCCATTTTTTTATATGATATTAAGTAATATTTTACATAATTGATTTTTCTTATTCCGCATATAAATGTATTAGAGTTACCAAGAAGTTAATAGTTTATGAGATATTTTATACTTTATATTTTGGTACATTTTGACACGAAATACAAAATATGTCGCAAACTATTCATTTTTTTTGTAACTATATCTTTTATGCACAGAATTATGAGAAAAATTACTTGGTGTAAAAAAAACATACAGTTTCTATAATTATAAAAAATTATACAATTTGCAATATGCATTACATTTTATTTTAAACAACAATGCTTTATTTACATCAGTTGATTTATCTTATCATTTGGTGCATAAAAATGTTAAGGTGCGATTGTCAAAAAATTTATAATTTACGAGATATTTTCTATTTTATGTCAAAATGTGTCAAAATATCTCGTACTCTTGATTTTTTTGTAATTCTACTTTTATTTGCAGAATAACTATAAAAATATTATATTTAAAAAATCGTATAATACTACTATTTAAAAAATAGAGATGCTTTTGAAATCTTTGAAGCATTTCATTCAGAAAAATTATTACTAGCATATTATAACTCTCTTGACACTACACAACTTTCGTAATTAAAATATTTTCATATCTCTAAAAGTAGTGGAAATACTCTAGATGAACTTTATCCTGTATATTTAACAACAAACTTTTTCTATCTAGAATTGTATATCGTACATATAATAAGATATAATATTGATAATTGATACTGTTTTCAGGTGGAAGTCTTTCCGATTCAGTATGTATTTGCAACGACGCAGTTAACAGCGAATTACAAAACGATACAAACACTATATTGGAATTTAATAGACACGTGGAACCATCTGACTAGATTTTTGTAGGGTCTTAATACTTTTAATAAGCTACGAATATATTGTTACAAATGTACAGTATAATTTTATCAAACATAAATATTTTGTTTTTATGATATAAAATGTTTATTGATACAAGGATATGTACAGGGTCGGATTAAGGTTTTTGCCACTCCTAGGTAGTAAAATTCTTGCCGCTCCCATTTAACTGTCTAATAACCATATTGGCGTAAAGAACAAAAAAGGTCATTTAAAGGGATTGAGCAGCCTTATCTTTATTGTATGTTTATGTCTGACCAAAAAAATTGGTTATCTTTAGAACTCTTTGAAAAAAAAAAATGCCGCCCCTAAGCAATAACCTCTAATACTAATATGGTACTGGAGCTATAATATGAGCATATTGGAGCATGTGATGCAAACAAAGCTCTAGTGATCGATGAAAAATTTTCTCAATTATTCGCATGGCAAAAAATCGTTACTTTTTAGAACTTATTTTCAAAAAATGCCTCCTCTAGACTATAGTCTAGGTTAGATTCTAGTGCTAATATGGCACTATGTGTCAATAAACATTTTATTATACAGGATATTATATGCAGAATGTATATATATGCAAAGAAAGTTTTCATATAATCATATAATAGTGAAGAGTACCCTCAGAGAGATAGTCGCGTAAGTTACCACTGTTAATGTACAGTACCATAGATTTGCAAACAACGAAGCTGTTAGAGTTTGGATGAAAAAAGAGAGGTGCACAATATATATTGTACAATATTTTTAAATATTATATTTTTATAATAGCTCGTATTGCAAATTTATGTAACGTATTATCAAATCATCACATAATAGGCTCAAATTGTATAAATAATCTGTGCGATAAGGTTGTGTTAGTAAATAATTTAGATATCAAAAGGTATATATGAATATTAATTAAGTATAAATATTTGACTTAGTTTATCGGTACTTTTGTACTGTGCTTCAGCATTAAACTGAAAATACTAATATTTATTATATATGATTCTTCCAGAGACATTTTCAACAATTATTACATAAATCTAATTTTTAGTTATATATATAAAGGTTGTAACAATTATTACTATTACAGTTTGAATAAATTAGAAACATGTGTAGATTCAGATATTTGAATATAATAAGCATAATATTATTGTTTTTTCTTAAAGAAAAAAAGAATACATTTTTGTTCGTTAGAACACATTTTTGGACATTTTTAAGAAATAAAATATATATTACAATTAAAATATATAATATATAACGTTATGTTACAATATATAATAATATCAAATATAATATTATATTAATGTGTAAATATTATAAAACATTTCCGAATTAACTGTCTCTTTCTTCCAAAAATATAAAATATTAATTCATTCCACATTTTTTAATAAATAAGTCACTCTCAATATTTATGTCTATGATCTCTTTATAAAGCAAGTTTGAAATGTTTCTATATACATATATATATATATACATATATATATATAATATTCTGTTATGTAAACTGCATATTATTAAAAATTAAGTCAAATATATAAAAAATGTGTATACATATATGTATATATATTTTATATTTTATAATTGAATATTTAACGTCTATATATCTATATAAAAAGAAAATGAGCATAAAATTGATATAAAGTTTATTCTTGCTCAAGTAAAATTATAGAATTTATATATTAAATTAACTTTATTTTGGAAAATTGAAAAATATGAAGCTTATTAACCTAGACATGACTGAAAAAATATAATTGTTGCAAGCTTTTATTCAAATTATATTTGATAACATCTAAGAAAACCGCATAATAAAAGAAGTAGTTGAGCCATACGCATTTTAGCGCAAAATAACAGTACTTATATGTAAAGTAATAAGCAGAATTTGTGTGTGTAGATTATGGAATTAATTCACACTTGATAATATTTTGATTATAAAAAAGAAAAATTGTATTTCGTTAGATATGCGAATAAATTTTTTTTGTATGCATATATGTGTAATAATATAACAATTATAGGTATATTTGAAGATTTTTTTAAGAGAGGAGATCCATTTTACGAATATAATAATTGTTATTTATATACAATTGTTACTTATACAATTTTTTTCCAATCATATCGTTTTATTTTATAGAATAAAGATGAATATATAATATAGGAAATTATTGAAAACAAATTAAGCAATTTTTTAATTAATCTGTTTTTGAAAATTACTAATATATTTTATAGAAGAATTTTCAATCAGTTTAAAAAAATATATCTTTTTGCAGAATCTTTAAAAAATATATTTATTTTGTCTTCTTTTCGTTAATTTGTGAATATTATGTTAACAAATTTTTTAATTACGGATGTTATGTTGATCCTTGATTGTTTGATTCTTTTCTTGAATCATTCTATATATGCTGAATACGTCGCAGCATCGTGTAATGTGTACTTGCTGATCGTGGTTGCGTCACAAATAAGCAGACGAAGCCAGTATTTTTAATGGAAAGTCGAAGACAGCCTGAATAGAATGAGCTATTGGAGAGGGAAACGACACTCGGTTTCTTTGATCAATAATGAAACTTCTCTTCGCCTTTCTTTTCTCTCTCTCTCTCTCTGTCTCTTCCCCCTCTCTCTTTCATTGCCTTTGCTCTTTTTCTATTGGTTTCTCACTTTCTCACCCTTACGCATCTCTCTAGCTGCTGTCTTATACATTTTTAACCCTTACTTCGACCCCCGCATAGACAGGAGAAAGACTCACAAAGCGAGAGAGCTAAGTTTTAACAACCCTTAAGATGTACCCCCAAGGCCACCGATCCTCTTTTCTCTAGATAATCCACTCGGCAATCCATTCGCGCGTGAGTCTCTATGGAAAAGGATTTGGTAACCTGCATACTTCAAGGAGGCTTCGAATGCGAAGAAACGAGGAATTTGGGTCTCCGAGACTTCTTTAGAAGTCAATAAGAATATAAAGGGTTCATTTAATACAAGGTAAGTATATTATATTTATCGAAAACTCGTTTAGATATTCTTTGATTCGTTCGCAATCAATTTAATCTTAAAAAAAATTTGAGTAGTAAATGTTATTCTTTGCATACAGTCTTTTCTGACTTTAAATAATCACTTTAACAAATAAAATTTATACATGTAATTATTCATATATATATATATATATATAAAGTTAAAGTAAGTTTTGAAAAATATAATTTTGTAGTGTCTATTAATCTATGTATACTTTTAAAAATATAATTCTGCAGTGTCTATATTAATTTATGTATATTTTTAATCTCTCAAATATTTTTAATTTTTTATTTAAAAAATTTTCGTAATTTCATGAAGAAATCGATTTTAAACTGGTTAAAAAATTTCTCAATTAAAATCTGATGAGAACATTCTGATTATAATGTGATAAGATTAAAACAGGATATATAGATATTTAAAAATGATGATATAGTTTTGATTAATTTGAACATTTTTTGTGCTTCTTTCTTGATTATGGAATTTTTTGTGTTAAATAAATTTAATTATAACATTATGTTGTAAAATATTTTATTTTGTACGTATAATGATTTGAATTTAATGTGTTGTCAAGAGATTTTTTAATTCTCCTCTTTTAGTCAAAAAATGGTGAAGAGAAGAAGCATTACGAATAAAGTTAATAGAAATTATTATAAATTAATATATGTATAACATAAAAATATAATACAAGTATATTCAATGTACAAAAGAATGATACAAAATATTGATATTTCTAATTTACAATTTGCAGTCAATCTTACGCTTTCGAGCGAAGCTATATATCGAGCAAGGCCGACTTTTCGTTGTCCCTTCACAATTTTTCCAAACAACCCCATGTCCGATGATGGGGGATAGTGGAACATGAAGCAACGTCGAGAGAGGGAATATGAGGGTGAGGCTGGCACAAAGAAAAGCGCGGGGGCGGGGTATGAGGAGAGGCCGCCGCGGTGCGGGATAATGCTTAACAAGCTGACTTGAAAGGACAGCCGCCATTTTGAGTCAATACTTGAAAGTCTTTGCTCATTAAGAATATTTTACGTCTACCTTCCACACGCTACGCAACCGACGTCGCTGTTGCCTCCCTATAACCCCGGCGCCATCTCCACTCTTCTTTCTCTCGCCCCCGCGCTCGGACTTTCTTTTTCTTCTCCTCTCTTGCCCTCGGCTTCGAGAGTCGTTTTTCTCCTTCTCTTCCTCCTTTTCTTTCTCATCTTCCTCGTTCGCCTCGCGCAGGACGACTGCACCCTCGAAGATGGAAGTTATTTACGCGGCACTCTGAGCACGCTCCACCGTCGCGACCCCGTAGCCGACCCTCATCCCCGACGTTTCGATCTGGTCTCCCCTTTGCCACGCTAACACGGTGCCCCCGCCTCATCGCTCTCGCCCTCGCCCTCATCAGGCATGCAGCAGCCACTGGGCAAGGAAGGGTGGCCAGCGCGCCAATCCCCCCCTCCTCCCCCATCCCCGTTCTCTCGACGAGGGATGGAGAAATCTCCGACTTCACTATGGGGTCCACCTTCGCGCGCCCTTCCAGCAACGATGGGTAAACACCGTCCCATCTCGCGGCGTTTTTCCTAATTCCTACCCAATTTCGCTTTTAGCATTTCAATTTCTACCTTCCTCCCTCTCTTTCCTCCGATTTCCCCTGTCCGCCGCGTCGGAATGACGGATTATCGTCGGACGAGCGAGGGCTCGATAGGGAAGAACTCTGTGGGCGGAATAGATGAGCGAAAATGACGAATAGCCTGCATACGATGGATGAATGTTTATCACGAATCTGGGACAAGTTTTTCAGGATTTAACGTAATAGCATTTTTATCTGTTTTGTTGATGATGCGCACTATTACGTTATACTTGCATGACAAATGATTCCCCTAATTTGTAACTTCTGACCTTTATACGCGAAATAGTCACGTGGAAAAAATAATAATTAATTCTTATTACAAATGTAAATTACATTTGGAAATATTATTTTTTCTAATATAAAAATATAAGAGAGTTGTGTTACTTATGAATCTAGAATAAGTAATTTCACATTTCTCAAGTATGAACATAAACATTATTAATATAGATGCGTAAAATATAATGTATTAAAGCAATGAAAATAATATAATAAGTTTATAGAAAGAACGGTTTTGCTTAAAAGAGTATCTAAAAATTTATCTAAATATAGATAGGAAGATAATCTTAATTTTTTAGATCATTAAAACAATTTACCTAGAATGTTTAGTGTTTGCAGTTATCTATATAAAATAATGTAAATAATTATTTAAGTGAAGAAATTACTTTATCTAATTTTTATCTAGAATATGCATGTATTAGAATATGCATATATTATTTCTATCTTGATCTTAAATAAAAGAAATGTTATCTTTTTCAAAATAAAAATTGGTAAAACCAAGAAACGAGCATACTAATCTTATCTTTTCAAATCATATTAATAATGTATAGCAAGTTTAGCATGCACCGGCGTAGAATTTTAAAATGTCTTCTTTATAAATCAGATATTTATGTTTAATGTTATTAGGTCATACTGTCTAGTATTTGTAATTCTCAGCATAGACTTAATGTGTATCAGCATTATTGCCTTTTTTATCTACATTAATAAGAGAAACTTTCAACATTGAAAGTAATTTTATATTTAGAATCTAAAGAATTAAAATTTTCTTTTTTACATGTTATAAACATATATTTTTTTCATTTTTGAAATGTTACACATCAAGGAATGAAAAATTGCATTAATCTAAAA